AATCCATGGATTTGGAACCCAAGGATACAGAGAGCGAACTGTATACACTCCTACCCTGTGAAGACAGAGGCAGCTTCCTACTAAGATACGTCTTGGAGTGACAAGTGCACACCCAGGTCCTTGGGCAACAGTATCATCTGCATTATCTCCAAGACACTCAAGCTTGGGGGACAGATTGACATGCCAGCAAGTACAGAAGCCACAAGGAACACACCACTTAGAGAGGGGACAGGGAAGGTGTTTCCCACAACGTAAGAACCACTTCCACATAGGGGAATCAAATATGGAATAAGTGAGTACGCCAAGCCATCCATACGTTATAAGCCAGCACCCAGCATTTCCTGAAGTAACCAGCCCCACAGACATAGCCACAGGACTTACAGACACGCTCACTGCAATGACTCTTTACTCACACCTTCACTGAGATCCCAGCCCAGCTCTCTTTGGAAATAACAGAACCTAAAACACATCCTATAAAACATGCTAATAGATGTTTGTCCCCGCTGGCACTTACACAAAGTTTTTACTATGTCGATTTCCATTCACTCAGTTTTGGTTTTTTTCTTCCATGTTTCCTATATGTATCTTAACTCCCCCATTAGTCTGGGGCTCCTTGAGGGCAGGGACATTCCTTCCTGTGCATTGCACAAAAATCAACATAGAACGAACACACACAATAAACAATGCTAAGTGTTTCCCCTCATAGTTAAAATGTGTCCACAGCTAATTTATCCCTCCTCAGAGTTCTTGGATCTGAAAGTGCTACCACATCCTCTCCTCTGCTGATAGAAAGATTCACGTTCTTCCTCAAATTTGTTTTGCTCTGACCAGATCCCTTATCTTTCAAAAATCTCCAAATCATTTTTTATTCCTTGCCCGGTAGATACTGAATATTCATATAAAAAAGTATTTCTCCATACTTCAAAGTCTAGTTCTTGGTAGCAACTAATCAACATGTATTGAGTGAAATACTTTATGAAATAGGTTAGCCTTCCTAACCTCAAGCAGTTTATTATAAGTGCTCACCTTTCATTATTCATTGCCATGGATTAGAACCCAGAGGCCTCAGTTACTAGCCTCAAACCTGTTTTGAGATATTACAATTTTATTTAAAAGGCCAAGGATCAGGACTTCGCAAACAGGTCTTGTGAGGTGTAATTCCATTGACTTGACTCTCCTTCTTGACACTGCTCACTGGTGGCTGCAAGCCCAGCAAGGCCTTTGCAAGCCCCACAACCTACATACCACCCAGGCTGGGGTTGGCATACCCGCTTATTGCTGTGGCTCGCCAAAGAAAGGGAAGGGCCTGTCTGGGGAAGAGAGGTCAGAGTCCAGAGGAGTCCTGTGGCAGCACATAGTCTTACCGCATCAAACTCCGCTTGATCATCCTCAGGTAGGTCGCTGGTTTCATAAACATCTGGCTCGTTTCTGGCCTGCGGGTATAAGCAGTGACCACCCAACCTCACTACCCAGCATCTAACAACACCCCTTACCCCACTCCATTTGAACAAACTAATGGTGAAGGCAAGCTGTGATGCCAGGATTCTGTCCTTTCTCCTCCACCTGCTGTGTGAACAGCATGTCAGTTCCCATGTCTCAGTGGGGACAACTGGGACCTGATAGTAAATGATGTTAAGTGATGTTAAATGATAACAAAGATGTTACCCTGAATCTGGAGGGGGAAGGGTCCTTGGCAATCACTATGTCAGAAGTAGGTGAGAGCTATCCTCGAATTAGGCCTTGTACACCACTACCCTGCCACAGGGTTGAGAGTGACTCAGGACCTTGGTACTCGAGGTCCTGTGCCCCAACCCCCACCCAGAGAACGCAGGCAGGGCAGCACAAAAGGAGGGTACATGGCGGGGGGCATGGTGCCAGGACAGAGGTTCCCTGAAGAACAGAGTTTCCCATCTGGCACAAGAAGGGTTCTACCACGGTAACCTCTTCCTTGGCAAGATGAAGGCCATCATCCTGGTGTGTGTGTCTGGGGGGAAGGGATGGGGGATCTAATGGGGAGATTTAGGGTGGCACGGAGGCGTTGACACGGATGGTATAAACACTAAGGTACAGTGGTAAGCACCCAGAGACGATTTCTGGGCCGAGAAACCGGCGACTGCCAGAATAGAGGCCTGGTGCGCCGTCCGACTGTCCGGCCCAGTCGGGTCAGAAGAGTCCGGAAGGTGCTGCGGCCGGTCGGAGAGCGAGCGGCGGGAGCCCTTAGAGCAGAGGAGGGGTCGAGGGGTGGTTTCTGTTGGGGGTTCTTGGGAGGTCGGGGGCGCGGTCCTGGGGAGCCGAGGCCGGCCCTGTACTCACAATGCCGGGAAGGTCGGCGTATTTAGGGTCCGCCATGGCGGCGGCGAGGCAGGGCTGGGGGGGCCGGGGCCTCGGTGGAGCCGGGGTCTATATTCGGGTAGGGGAGAGGCTGGGTTCGGGTCCCCGGCTAAGGCGGCGGCAAATGGAGCGGCAGAGTAGCAGAAGTCTCGCGACACGAGGAGCACAGCAGAAGGGTAAAGCAACAGTCGCGAGAACAGCCCGCTGCCACACCCCCTGGAGAGGCCGGGTTTGGCGAGAACGAGACCAGGGAACGAGGTAATGGCATGAGGACGCCGCTTAGGATTGTGGGATATGTAGTCTTGGTCTACTGGGTCTTGGGCGGGGAACTAAAATAACGCACTTTAGGGAGATGTTCCCTACAAATTATTTTCTTTCATTTTTACACCAAGTCTGTGAAAGAACTTTCATAATTCCTGTTTTGGACTCCTAGAAATTAAGTGACTAGATAAAATCACACAGCTAGTCATGTGGCACAGCCAGGGCTTCAGAAACAAGTAAAATTTAGTAAACGCTTAATGTATGCTAGGAATGAAAAAGTTAAGCAATTTTCTCAAGTGAGGGCTGTCAGATAAAATACAGGACTCCTAGTTAACTTCGAATTTCAGATAAACAACTAGTAGGGGTTTTTTTTGGTTTGGGTGTTTTTGTTTTTGTTTTGTTTTGTGTATGTCTCATGTCATATTTGGAACATACTAAAACACAAAAAATATTATTTATATGAAATTCACATTTAACTGGGCATCTTGCTTTTGTGTGTGTGTGTTTCAAATCTGGCAATCCTATCTTAAATTCATAAATAGATAAGTGGTGCTTCTGTGTCTGTTTGAACACTATGTGCTTTTACCACTTCAGTAATAGTTCCCAGACCTTTAAATTTCATGGCTAAATAAAATTAAAACAACAAACCTTAAGGCTAAACATAATATTTCTACCTTTTTATTTTACCAAATAAATACATTACAGATAGAAAACCTACTATTTATTATCACCATCATTACTTGGTAGAAAAGAAGAAAGGATACACTCTCAGAATAAAAGACAGCCCTTGGGAATTTACTAAATCTGGCTTTAGAAAAACTCACCACATTGCTCTTTTGGAGGTGGGGGCATAAGTTCACCCAGTGAACTTTTGTCTCTGACCAGACCCTCCTTCAGACTGGCATTTTGAAACTCCTTCACTAAGGATGCCGCCTTGGAGCCTCTGGGGCCCCAAGGTTGGGATGTTTCCGTGATGTTTCCTGAGCTTGCAGGATGCTGCAACACTTAGAAATAGTGCCAAACCAAGTGACTGAAGAGTTCCTGAGTTTGGAACTCATTGTCATTCTCTCTTCTGGCTCCTCCCCAAGCTTCTGTTTTTCCATAGTCCTACTGCCTTCCCAACCAGTTCCTTATGTTGGACCCTTTTCCTTCCTTTCCCTTAGTATTTAAGGTGGGTTATAGGTGTAGGCTCAACATGGTGAACCCCCCTCAGCTGAATTCCGAGTGGTTAGGTCTTGTCTGGCCGGGCCATCAGCCTCTCATCCTTGGCCCATAGTGTCTAAGTGACCTTAAACACTCACCAGACAGTTGCTGAGCAGAACCTCCATCCCCTCCTCCCTTCTCCCATCACCCTGCCTTTCCCCTTGGCCTAGAGCCTCAACTCCTGCAGTCCAACTCTCTGTTAGCCAGCAGAGGTCTGTGACGTGGAGAAAAATCAATTGGGCTAGTTTCTCGGTGGTTCTGCAGCAGGAGTCTGATCCAAGGGGAGGAGGACAAGGAATCTCTGGGCTTGGCTTTTTCTTTTTTTTCATTTTCTTTCTTTCTTTTTTTTTTTTTGCCAAGGAAGGGAGAGAAGCAGAGGGCAAAGGCCTGAGAAAGGGGCTGGGGTATTGCGACTCTATCTACAGTTACTGGGACAGGAAACACTTAAGTAGGTGCCTAAACCTGTCTGAAACCCAAATGCAAGCTTTACCCTAGAGGTCCTTTCAAAGCCCCTCTGGCCTTACTTACCTCCACCATCACTCTTCTTTCACTGATTTCCAACTCCGTTTCTCTCACAAAAGTTATTCCTGCCCACCATCATCCCAGCCCCAACCTAGGAGGCAAAAATAAGAATTTTATCTGCTTTTGAATTCCCATAATCCAGAATGGAAGTTTGTCCTCCCTCCAACTGGGGACCTGGTGTGTATGTTGGGGAGAGAGTAGAGTGCACCTTTGGATGCAGAAGGGGAAGGGAGTAGCCAAAGCTTCCCATGACACTCCTCCCTGACACCCACCTCCACAGGGGTACAGGCAGCTGTCCCCCTTGAAGGCTGAGTGGGTTGGGAGCCCACCTTCTGTGCGTGCGGGGCAGGGAGAAGAAGTGTGCTCCCAACTTGGAGAGAGGACTGTTGACCCTTTTCCCTACACAAGCGACAGGCCCGCTTCAGTCCCCTCATCCCTTCCATAGGATGGAGTTTGAGGGAGGGACTAACATAACAGGTCGAGGGTGTGGGGGTGGGATGCAGTGAGTAAGCTGGAAAGGGAAGGAGCGAGGACAAGGTTAAGTCCGAGTGTTAGAGGTGCGGGAAGGAGGCGAGACGAGCAGCAAGGTCCCATCATTTAGTGGTCGCCGTCGTGCGATCGCCCCCAACGAAGGGAGCCCCGCCCCACTGCTCCACTGCGGCCCCGCCCAGGCCCGCAGCGCGGCGCTGCAGCGCAAGGGGCGGAGAGGCAGAGCGTCCAGAGAGGACCAGACGCCCAGGTCGCCTGCATCCCGCTGCCGCAGGAGAGAGAATCGCGCCCCGGCCCTGCTCCCCAGCCTTCGCCCGGGCCCCCTCAACTGCTTTCTCGGCCTCAGAGACCGAACACCTGTCCTCTGCCTCGGCCTCAGCTGAACGCCCCCTTTCTCCGGAGCACACACCACCCCTGCAGCCCAAGAAGTGCCCCAGCCTCGCGCCGGCGACTACCATGGCGGAGACCAACAACGAATGCAGCATCAAGGTGCTCTGCCGATTTCGGCCCCTGAACCAGGCTGAGATTCTGCGGGGGGACAAGTTCATCCCCATTTTCCAAGGGGACGACAGCGTCGTTATTGGGGTGAGTGCCACACGAGAGAAAATTTGGGGAAGGGGTGGGAGGCTGACTCTTCCCCCTGCAGAGCCTAAGTCTCTGCCTGTCACTCTTCGCCCCCTCCCCGCCGCTCATCCTCCATCCTCTACGCCGCAGCCCCTCCTCTCTCCTGCATCAGGATGGCTGGGTGTGGCCTGGCCAGGCCTGTGGCCAAGTCTCTGCAGAGTCAGAGGGGGCTACTTCCCCACCATCAGGAGACCCAACTCCCCTTGGGGCTCTCTGCAGCGTCCCCACCCCTTAGAGCCAGTTCTGTGTTTTTCTGATCTTTTCCCTTTCCCCCAGAAAAAGGGCATCTTCCCTTTGTTATTGGCTCAGATCTCTACCCACCCCCTTCCAAGAGGGGAGGAGGAAGACTAATTAGGTGGCCTTGATGGGAGGTGGGCAGTCCAGGGTCTCCGCGGAGGTATGAATGGGAGTGGGTTCTAGGACCAAGCCCTCCATTATCCCCTGAAGTAGTTATAGCCCTGACTTTGGGGACGGGAGCACAGGTCTGAAGAAGGGTTTTCTGGGAAAGAAATACATTGATGCCACACCCAGTTTTGGGGGGAGCCTCTAGGATCCTAAGGACATGTCTGCCTTTCGGTCCCAGTACAGTAGGAAAAGGATTTCAGGCTACCCAACTACCCCTGCAGAAAAAAATATCCAAACCCTGGGATCCTAATAAGTACTTGATTATTCATCCTTTCTCTTGACGATCCAGTAGGAAGTAGCAAGCCACCTCTACCTCATCATCACAGCCATCCCCACGTAGGAGATGTTAAGGAGAACTACTATTTACAGTGTGCTTGTTACTCTGTGTGTATTATTTCATCCTCAGAACAACATTCTGAAGTAGTATCAATATTTCCATTTTACAGATGAAGAAATTGAGGCCCAGAGAAGTTAAATAACTTTCTCAAGGTCATACTGTTAATTTATGTATCTGAACCCACGTCTGTGATTCCAAAGCTCCAGTCTTTTCCTTTATATCACATTGTCTCCCCAGATTTCTGTTCTAGACCTTTATCGTTGTCGGCCCAGAGGGAATTTCTTGCCCATTCTACCTTTCCTCGGTTGGTAGGGACCTTCAGGCTGTGTGTGAGGTGAGAGGGTCTGGGCTGGAGTCCTGCAGGACTTGGGGGCCCTGGGCCAGGAAACTGTAGCCACAGAAGGGAGGGGCATATATGAGGGCAGTCCTCAAGGTCAGGGACGCTGCTTATGTATCTTTATCCCCAGTTCTTGGCAGAAAGCAGTGGGAAACGTGCTTGTTTAAGGATTGAAGGAAAGAAAGGAAGTCTGGGCCTCCTGAGTCAGTGAGAATAGGACTTTGAGTAAACATGCCTTAGGGAGAGACCTCTTACCTATTCAAAGGGTCCTAGTCTGTCACCACCCTATACTCTCACCCACACTGTGAACTCAAATGGATGCTTTTGCCGTGTGTGTGTGTGTTTGTGTGTGTGTGTGTGTGTGTGTGTGTGTTTGCCACTTGGAGAAAGCCTCTGTTACTCTTGGCCTCAGGGACCCCTCAGGCCTTGTCGTCTGGTCAGTCTGGCCAGGCTAAAGCAAAAAGCCTGCGTCAATCCTGGAGGACCCCTCTCTGAGTAGCCTGGACGGCAAGCATTAACTATGAGATATGGAGCTTAAGGTCGCCCTGAGACATAAAGGCTGAGACGGAAGGAGGTGATTATGGGAGGAAATCCATAGGCCCAACCTCCTTGCTCTGGAAGGTTTTTCCAGTAAGTCCAAGCCAATTCCTTTAGGCTCTCTGGGCCATCCTGATGTGGTGGGCTGGAGCAGGGGGTGATGTAAGGGGGAGGGGTTCTGGTGTGGATCTGTCCAGTTAGCCCAGCTAAACATGAGGACACAGTGGGGGTTGGTGAGGGAAGAGAGATGAAGAGAAACCCAGGACCCCCTGCCAGTTCAGATTCTATCGCAGCCCCACAGCTGGTATTTCCTTGTCTGTTTTGCCTGATATTGTAGGACTGTACCTTTGTCTCACTCTGTGTCTTCCCTCACCCTCACCCTCCTTGTCAATCTCTCACTTGAAGATAAATGCTTACAGGGGGCCATTTTGTCTCAGGCAACATCCCTGGAGCTGACATTTTCAAACTTACTATTCATTCTTCATTCAGGAATGAGGGGTACAGGAGACACGAAGGGTCTCAATAAGGGAAGGACATTGCCTACCCCTTTTCCTCTTTTTTCCTCCAGCTCCCCTTGGGGCCCGGTATGTGGGGAATTGTCTGAGGAATTAATGGAGGGGGTGTTTCAGGGTATCTGGGAAGGTGAGGGAAGAGTGAGGGTGGGAGAGATCATCTCTCCAAACCCAGCCCCTACTCCTTCCTGTGACAGCTCTCCTTTTAGCCTCTGCGGCACTGCGGCTAGCTCTGGGCTCCAGAGTCCCATACGTTTGTGGGCTTTGTTCTGCTTGGCAGAGGATAGAAGAATAAACTGGCAAGACAGCTCTGTGTGCCTTATTTCTCCCCTACTCCTCTGACTTCTTGCAGGAACCTGGGGGATGGGGTTTGGCCAAACTTAATAGCCTGAGTCATAGTAGAAGGATGTCTGGATCACTGTCTATGTGCAATAGGTGTCTTGTTTTGCCCTTTGCACACTCGGAATCCAGTGTGACTTTTTCACTGGACCCATTTAAGTGTCTTTCTGTCTTTCTCAGCAGTGTCCCAATGCCTGCTGTCTGGGCTGCTGTATCTGTACCAGATGTGGGAGGGATGACAGGAAACATTCTCTCTCTCTCCCTCTCTCTCCCCTTCATTCAAGTGTCCACATGCTACCTCCCTCAGGTCTTCCAGAGGTTGAGTGGGTTCTTAAGGAAGCAGGAAAGCAGGACCATCAAGTACCTCATGTGGAAAAGCTAGGTTGGGACCTGCAGGGTTATTGGAACAGAGTCAGTATTGTTTGGGGTGGCCTGGGATTCTTTTGATATCTGAAGCGGGGAGCAGGGCTCCCTTTAGCTTTGGGAGAGTCTCATAAAGGAAAATGGCGAGGGGAGGTAATGTTCCCTGTGGCCAGTGTCTCTCCAGAATTACCATGGCAACAATCCCCAGGGGTGTCACCATGGAAATCGGCATGGCACTTGAAGTTCAGCTTCTACCAAGTGCTTTACTGACGGTTGAACAGGTTGGTCATCTTTGGACCCCTGACCTTACCCCTCATGCACATGAACTGTAGTCAGCACGCATGATGGAAAACTACAGAAAGATGCTGGGATACGTAAGGGACAAGGAGACGACAAGGAGGCTTGGAGTGGGGTTAGAGGAGAACAAAGAACCCAGGACTGTGGGACTCTGAAGAGAAGCCCTCCAGAGAAGGCTATGAGGAGAGCTTAGACTGCCGGGGGTGGGAGAGGGATCAGATCTCAGGGGCATTCCTAAGAGGGAGGGACTCTGTGAGTATTTCTGTTTAACGTAAAAGGTCTTCAATTACCTGTGGGTGGAGAGAGGGAGGGAGGCCGGCCCTACTGAAAGGATGGGTGGGAGAATTGCATACTTCTGAAAATGGGACTGAGGTTGGAAAAAGGGAATGAGAAAGGCTTTCGTTCTGTCCAGAAACACTTGGAGAAATGCCCACAGTGGGGGAAGGGAGGCTCTGATGCAGTGTTGACATTTCAGTTCTTTGATCACTTTAGCAGTATGGGTCGGGAAATCAGATTGCTTGAGTTTGAAACTGTGCTCTACCGTTTGTCAGCTGTGTGACTGTGGGCAAGCCACCCGACCTCTCTGGACCTCAGTTACCTCATCTATAAAATGGGAATAATAATAGTACCTACGTCCTAGGATTACTGTGAGCATTAAATGAGATCATGCAAATAAACTGCTTTGTGACAGAGATAGGCAAATGGTAAACTCTCGATAAGAATTGAACGTTATTATTATTTTATATGCTATCTCCCCACAAGCTAGCTTTTGACAAAATTGGGGAAGTGAGTAACACTTTCCCTTTTTTTTTTTTTTTTTTTTTTTTGAGACAGAGTCTCACTGTGTTGCCTGGGCTAGAGTGCCATGGCATCAGCCTAGCTCACAGCAACCTCAAACTCCTGGGCTCAAGCGATCCTCCTGCCTCAGCCTCCCAAGTAGCTGGGACTACAGGCATGCGCCACCATGCCCAGCTAATTTTTTCTATATATTTTTTGCTGTCCAATTAATTTCTTTCTATTTTTAGTAGAGACGGGGGTCTCGCTCTTGCTCAGGCTGGTTTCGAACTCCTGAGCTCAAACAATCTGCCCGCCTCGGCCTCCCAGAGAGCTAGGATTACAAGCGTGAGCCACCGCGCCCGGCCTGCACTTTCCCTTTTTACTAACTGTTTCATCCAAACCTTCAGGTCCCCAGTATCTTTTGCTCTCTTCTTCATCAATATCTATGTTTATTCAACACATACTTATGAAGAGCATCTTGTAGGCCAGAGGCTGTGTTTGATGTTGGGGATTTAGAGGGAATCCTTGCCTTCAAGAACCTCTGAATGTAGGCAGTGATCCACAACCTGCACAGTGGCCTGGGCAGAGACGGGGGAGAGGGGCATCAGAAATGGCTTTTGCTTTATGTACACACCCCCAGATTCTGCTAAGGAACCTCCCACAACATACTACAGTCTGATTCAAAGTAATTGTGTGTTATGAGAGCTGTAAATAATGGTTGTGTTTCCCATGTGTAGAGGCAGAAAAAGTAGGCAACCACTGGTCTAGTTATTCTCATGAAAAGATCAGACAAAATTAATTCATCCTGAGTATAATCAATAGAAAATTAAAGGAAATTTACACTTTAAGAGAAATAAAAATCTTAAGATAAAGAAGTAAAGAGCTAGACTTGAAATTTATGAGCCTAGCCAAGAGTAGGGAAGTAGGTAGCAGGCCTTCCCAGAACCCCTGAAATCATAGTCTGTGTCACGTGGCTTTCCCTGCCCACGAGCTTATTAAATGCACCCATTTTTAGCTCTTGGATATCTTTTATCCTCACAGGTCTGAGAACCCCACC